CAGCCCCACAAAGAGGAAGCCTGTGCCCCCACAGACTCCAGGCACAGACACGGAGGACAACTGCCCGTGTACCTGACCGTTAATATCCGCAACAGACAAAGAGCTAAGGGCAGAAGAAAGATGCCAACGACCCTGTGGAAAAATGAGCCAGAGATGCGAACACAAGGTGGTGGCTTTCCTACCGGGAACGACTTCTCCTTTGAGTCATAAGAGAAACTGAGTTAAAACTACACCAACCCAGCAGGCCTGCACGGAACCCCGGGCCGGTGCTGTTCCCGACAGCCAGACCCTGGAGGGAGCCGGAACGTCCACCCAGGAGAGTGGGTCAGCGTGTGGCAGTGTACCCCTCGTACTGGGGGGTTCTGTGCCATTCAGGAGGGTCACAGATGACTCGGGAACGTGCCACACCAAGGGGCACAGCCCAGTGCCATTCACAGGAAGTTCTAGCACAGGCAGGCTGGCCTGTGGGAGTGGCCGTGTGCTTCTGGAGGGAGGGAGAGAAGAGCAGAGGACGACGGGAGCCTCCTGGGCACCTTCTGTCTCAGCGGGGTGGTGACACACAGCTGTGGGCATCTGCTGCTACGCCAACCATCCCCTTGGGATCCACACAGCTTCTCCCCCATCGCGGAATCCACAGGTTGACAAACATCCCGGAGTTTTGTAGCGTGCTCAGTCGGGGCAGCTGGGGGACACTGAGGGCTCCGAGTCGCAGCCTCGAGGAGTATTCAGACTGGAGCCTGTTGGGCACTGCTTCTGGCATCTTATCCCAGAGACTCCGGGGAGAGCATGGAAGTGCTTATTCACGGCTGTTGGGAACAGCAGAGAAGCAGCCCACACACTCATCAGCAATGACTCAATAGACCACGGCCCATCCCACACAGACCCACGCATGTCATAGAAATGAGGGTCATCTCTGTGAAGAGTACAGAGAGAGATGTTTGTGTGAAAAAAGCAAGCTGGACAAAAAACGTGTTATGTCGCTAATTACATACGAAGGAGCAACATGTGAATATCTGTATTATGTAAATGTTTATATTAAAAACAGGTTTATCCACAAAGGGAAGTGAGTGACTTCCCACAGAAGGACAGTGAAAGGGGTGTGTCTAGCCAGAGTCCGAGCCCAGAGCTCCACCACGGCCTGTCGCGTAGGTTAGACTTGGACGTGCTAGCAGTTTTCCTGACTGTGAAACAAAATTGAGTGTATTTTTTAAATCATGAAATCTTGGACATAAAGGAAACAAACTTGATGTTTAGTCCTAGGAAGTGCTGATTCATTCTAAGGGACATTAAACCCTACCACCAGAAAAGACCGTAGGGAGCCCTGGGTGGTGCATCATCGGTGGCAGTTCTGTATTGACACAGCGTGGGCATGTGGCACAAAGGAGCATTAAGAAATTTCACCAGTGTTAAGAGCTAGGATTTCCAGCACAGACTGAGGCTTGCAGAAACCCTCTTGTCCTGAACTGGAGTTGGAGATGTTCTCTGAACCAGGTGTTCCTAGCTCGGGCCCCTGAGGGTGAGTGCAGTGAGCAGACCGGGTCCCGCCTGAGACCTCCAAGCCCTCAGCTAAGGAGCAGGCTGCATGCCGCAGAGGTGGCCTGGCACCACCAGGAGGCTCACAGGACGAGTGGGAGACCGTCTCCTCACACCAACAAGGGGCCCCAAGACCCCGGAGAGGACCCGGCTTAGTGAGCCCCTGTGCCAGCATGGAGTCAGGATGGAAATGCAGAATTATATTCCAACCCACGAATTCAAATTAACACTAAAAATACTGAAAACAGCCTTCCGTGGTCATCTTGAGAGCCAGGTTATTTTTTTGAAGTGGGGAATCGGGCATTTCTCCTTTCTTTTATAGGTTAAAAACTGTAGGGAGCCTTGGGATAACTACACGATTGCCGTGGGAAGCTTCCCTCTATCCTATTTTAACTCATAAAGGAAAAGGGAATGTCGGCTTTGAACATCACCCTTTCTCAGCCCTGAGTTGACGGATGTAGGCAGAGATCATTAATGATTGCCAGCGTCACAGACGGGAGCACCTGGGCTTCCTGCAGCCACTGGTGGGAGTGCACAGCACTGCCGCGAAGGAGCCCCACTGAGACTGATTTCCGCTGGCCGGCCCCCGACCACAGGCCCTAACTAAATGCAGGGGCCAGACCCAGCAGCCTCAGGGAGAGCATCTGCACATCCCGACTGCGAGACTGCAGGATAAGCCACCAGTTGTCCATCGAGGCAAGGAGAAACTGTGGGGAGAGCTGAGAGGGGACGTGTAGGTCAGAAGAAGCTGCAGGGACCGTCCACCCACCACCGTGATCAAGGGGCCTGTTGCTGCTGAGTCTTGGCGGCACCTGGACTAACGGGTGCTGAGTGAGCTGCTCACCTGCACATGGCACTGGCTGCCTCTCGCTGGCCAGCAGAAATGGCGCCTTGCTCTCAGTGCTCATCACAGAAGGTTGTGAGCGCCTCCCACGCAGTGAGTCAGTGCTGTCTGCGGGGCTCACCGCTGCGCGGTTCTGGTTATCGTGTCGGTGAGACACAGACCTGGCAGGTGGGGGGTCTCCACCCAGGGTCTCTGTTTTAAAGACTCACGTGCTTCTCCTTGCCTGAACTCAGCCCTTTGTTTGTTTCAGATAGCAGAACTGGTAGCAACTGAATTTTTTGACCAAGGAGACAGAGAGAGGAAGGAACTCAACATCGAGCCCACCGTAAGAACCCCACCTCCTGGCACTGCCCTGGGGCGGCCCAGAACCATGCTTTCTCACGCTTCTGTGAGGTCTTCCCCGGGGGACCCAGTGCTCTTTTGTTGCTCGGCACTTGTTCTGTTAGAAGTGTGAGTGTCACCCGGGAGGCAGAAGTGAGGAGAAGACGCTCCGCCCCAGGTGTCCCTCTGGCCCTGTAGCTTCTGATGACACAGGCGCTTGTGTGAGGCAGGTGCCGCTCTGCGACGTTTTCATGGCTGCGAGCCACACCTGCAGCCCCTCCTGGCACCTGCCCTGGCGTCACGATGCGTGGGGCCCTGCCACCTGCGGCACAGTTGTGGACGGCTGTTGCTGGACATGTGTTGCGCTCTTTACTGTCAGGAGGTTCCCAGAGGGAACAGGACTGGAGGCACAGATCTCCAGCAACAAAAGCTTCCCGCACCGCGTCCATCTCCTGCAAACCTCCCCAGTCTTGTCCGTCCCAGGGTGGGGAGTGCATGAGGCTGCCACCGGCTTCCCAGGCTGGCCCAGTTCATCTTTCAGAGCCCACTTTTGTTGTGTTCTGCAAACAAATGCACCCCTGTTTGTGTCTGTTTTCAGGATTTGATGAACAGGGAGAAGAAGAACAAGATCCCCAGCATGCAGGTCGGATTCATCGACGCCGTCTGCCTGCAGCTCTACGAGGTATTTATGGGGAGCCCATGGTGTGCTGGCTTAAGGCATGTCATGAACTAAAGCCTGAAGAAATCCGAGAGATTGGCGCTAGGCACATACTTTTTGTTCTAAACCGAGAAAAAAGGGAAAAAAAAGTAGCTTTGCTTCTTTTGCTGATAAATATGTTTGCATGGAGCAGGGAACACATTTTGTATTTGCTATTCTCAAAAACTTCATTCAGCTTAAAGGCCCACTGTGTGCAGGCCCAAGGGTTCCCACTGCGTGCTAGCTCACAGGCGCCTACTGTGTGGGGCCCCTCAGGGGTGTGGGAGGGTAGGGCGTGGCAGTGTCCTGAGGAGCTGCCCTGCACTCTGCTCTCCTGCTCTCTGCCCCACACCTGGGCCTCCACGAGGAAGCTGCCTCGACTTTTCCTCTCTGCCACACTGTGATTGTGATCTTAAGAAACTTGCCCCGAGGACGGGAAGGAAGTGTCTAAGGATGTGCAGGTTCCTGTCCCCACACTCCTGCTGGCTTGGCCTATTTGGACTTTTAGGAGTTGGGGGTTTTTATTTGTCTGTTCACATGTGAAGAGATTCCCCCCTCCCGCAATACCCAGTGGACTAGTTTAGATGCTATGACCCAAGGACAGAAAGAAGATTTCGTCTTTCAAAGTTCAAACAGAAAACTGCTTTTAGCCTTTGATTATTTGGGAAAGGAGCGTTCAGCATGGAGTTACCCTAGCACGTCCAGAACAGGGAGTCCTGGAAACCCCCGACCAGGGTGTTTCTGGCATTCAGAGACCGGGTTTGTAAAGTTCGTCTTCCAGGGAGAAGGACTCTTCACCCAGGCAGGTGGCTCCTGAACCACACCTGGGGTCCATCCAGAGAACACAGTAGGGAAGCGGTGCCCGGAGAGGAAGGGGAGCCCCTCCAGGGGCACCGGGCACGGCCCCTCCTCTCCTGCCTGCCCTCCCTGCTTATCAGTCCTCAGGAGCACCAGGCACTGGGCGTGGCACTCGGCAGGACTGCCGCCTCCCCACGGCTGGTGGAGGCCCAGCTGAATATACAAATGGGGGTCTGGGCCTTTCAGTCCTTGTAGAGAGAGTAGTGTCAGATCACCTCTGCAGGGTCGTCCCCTGGGCATCATGTACATACAGAGACCCCTTCTCTGTTCGAGTCGGCCCTGAAAACGCCCTGTGAAGCGAAGCGTGTGACCTCCGCTTCCACAGGAGTGGCATGTTCTGCCGCAGGGACCAGCAGGGAGCAGCCACTCGGGCCCCACGTGGGGAGTCGCTGGAGGCAGAGCACGGCTGTGTGCTTCCCACTTGCTCCTGCAAGCAGGGACTGCGCCTCATGGCGTAGCGCCTCATGGCGTAGCGCCTCCTGGCTGCTGTGACCGTCTCTGTGCGTCTTTAGTGGGCACACCAGAGCAACACAGCACCCCAACCCCGTCACCGGTGCTATTCAGTGTGTCTGTTGCAAGGAAATCCTCCTCGATGACATCGCTGCAGCTGAATGCAGACCATGGTGCCACTCTGAGTGAGAACTGACCCTGACGATGGCCTTGGGTGAAAATCCCCTGTGCCTTGCATAAAGCCATTCTGCAATGCCGCAGTCTGGCTGGGCACAAAATCACGAACCACTCACAGCCTTGTAGATTCAAACAGCAATTCTTTATTCCCGAACTCTCACCGGCCCTCTACACGCACGTTCTGGGCAAAATCCACACCTCCACTGGGCTCTGTATCCCAAAATACTCTCTGAATCCCGCACTCAACGGGAACTCAAGGAGCGGGCGCGCCTGAGGCAGCAGGATAGGCCCTATTCCCAGCAGGAATCACCTTAAACCTGGAACCGCCCTAAACCCAGAAGGCCCTAAACCCCCATCCGCCTTAAACCCTGATCCACCCTAAACCCGGATCCGCCCTGGTCCTTGAGCAAGGTCACCTTTCATGCAAAGTCACTGCAAATGATCTGGGTCCACCATGGAGAGTCCTTCCTCTAAGCAACATGGGGTAGGCTGACAAAGAAACTGCGATGCGTCACTCCTACTTGGCTCGCCTCTCAGCACTGCAAGCCTGCTAGTCACCCCCCGAAGCCGTCTGCACCACACAGAAACAAGCCCTGTTCCCCAAACAGCGGGTCCCACCCAGCCCAGCCTCCACACCTCGGTGCTGCGGGGGACTCCCTCCTGAGGTCCCTGTGTGTTGTCCACGTGGGAAGGCCAGGCTCCCGAGAGGAGTGGAGCGTGGCCTGGGCGGGCTGCGGCCTGCGTCCTTCCACCTGCTTCCTCTCTTCCTCTCCAGGCCCTGACCCACGTGTCGGAGGACTGCCGGCCCTTGCTGGAGGGCTGCCAGAGGAACAGGCAGAAGTGGCAGGCCCTGGCAGAGCAGCAGGAGAAGACGCTGGTCAACGGGGAGAGCGGCCAGGCCAAGCGGAACTGAGGGGCTGTTGGCGCGGCGTGGAGACTCCGAGGCACCTCTGGGAGCCCCAGCCCACTGTGCGCCGAGCAGACCGTCCACACTTGGCCACTGCTGTGTTCTTGTTTCTGCACGGCTTTCGAGAGCACCATGACGTGTTTTCAGGGGACGTTTCCACAGGTTCTGGGCATGTCTGTGCCGCGGGAAGCCCACGGCCAGGTGGGGCTGTGTGTGCTGGGGGGTGTGGGTGCCGCTCTGCCGCTGCTTCCTGCCTGGGTTTATGAGAACCGGCTCCCGTGGTTGGGAGTCTTGCTTGTCTCAAGAGGCCGGGAGGACAGTGTGTGAGCCCTGGTGGGCCTGCTGGGGGCCAGGTGGGGTTAGGAGGAACAAGGGTCTGCTCAGGTGGAAAGAGTGTGAGGCCGCATCGCAAGGAAAATGCATCCACTGACCTGCTGCTTTGTGAAAGAATGGGGGTGGGGCTTGGCCATCCCCCCAGGACCCCCAGCAAGGGCCGCCCGTCTCACCTGCAGGGGTCAGCAGGTCAGCGGAGAAGCCCCATTCCACCACCAGCCAAACACATGCCGTGGGAGGTCCTGCTGAGAAGCAGTTTTGAAATCTGAACTTTTGAAAATAATCTTGTCCTCTTCCACGTCCTTCCAAACCACACCTAGATCCCAACGTGATTGTTGGAGCGCTGACCTGGAGGGACACCGGGCTCCAGGACGGAGCTCCGTCTCTCTTCCTTCAGTCTGTCAGGTGGACCCTGGAGGAGAGTTGGACTGTGTCGGCAGCAGGGCTCTGATCCGGAGCTGTGGGCAGAGCTGAGGGAGCAGGAAGGGCGCCTCCGCCCAGTGAGGTCAGGAGCACCGCGGCTGAGAAGCTGCGGTCAGCTCACAAGGCGAGCAGGGCCTGAGCACGAGGCCTGGGCACTGCCCTCGGCCCGCAGTGCGGGTGGCCCTGCAGCTCCCAGTCAGTGCACACCCTCCTGGGGTTTGAGCCCACCTCAGCGTGCCCCTGAGTTCCCGCTGGCCCAGCGTTGGGGGAGTGGACAGTGGAGCAGGTGGCACCCGAGAGGAACTCTGCCCCATGCGTGCGGAGACCTTTGGATCTGGGGGGAGCAGGAGGAGAGACTTGGCCTGTCAGCGTCCACCTGCGTTAGTCAGGTTTGCTGTGACCAGAACAGCTGACGAGGACCACAGAAAGGAGCTCCGGGTTCAGTCCGTGGTGACCGCTTCGCTGCCCTGAGCCTGGTAGAGGAGGCACTTATCTCCCTGCAGCTGGGAAGGGGGCAGGGGCCGTGGTGGAGAAGCACCCTTGGGGCAGCCCCATGACCCACCTCCTCCACCACACCCCACCCACAGTCGCCCCCAGTGGGTCCCTTCCAGCCAGGGCGGCTCTCACCACCTGGTCTCTTCTCCTCTGCATGCTCCTGCCCCGACGGGAGCTCTGAGCACCTCCCGTGACCCGCAGCACACCCTCCCACTTTCTTACAGGGAGGGGAAGTGTCTGCTCTGGGTAGCTGTCACTAAGGTGGACAGGAGCCCTGGGTGTGGGTGTGCCGCGGCCTCAAGGTCTTTCAGTGCTCTTGACTCCTGTTCACATCCTCTAACGCCCTAAAACTCAGCGTGTTCCCCTTAGTGCTGTGCGTGCGTGTGTGTGTGTGTGTGTGTGTGTATGTGTGAGCCCCCGGCTCTATTCCTGCCATTCAAGTCCAGAGAAGAGGCAGGATAAAGTGTGGCCATCACTGCACTGTGAGGCGCGTCCAGGGAGCTCTAGCTGGTGTTGCGGACCTGGACCTTCAGAATGTTTTATTTCATGTCACAGGTGAAATCTAACATTGCCTCTTGGTGGCACTGGAGTGTGAATTACACAGACTCACCAGCAATCGTCGTGTCTGCACACTGAACGCACCTGTGCACGCGTGCATGATTCTCTAGGGTAGACTCTCTGACAAGCTTCATCACACACCTGTTATGCCAAAATACAGAGCCGCCCACTCTCGGGCAGTGTGCTCAGGCCCCTCTGGCGTGTGCCGCGAGACAACGCCGATTCTGCGTGGAGGGTTTGGATGTGTGTTTCAACAAGAAGGAGATGCATTCAGCTTAGGCGTTGGTTTGTTCTTAGATAGCAGCTTATTTTGTGTCACTGGTTTGGACCGTGAAGGAAGTTAGGCAGGGCCAGGCTCCATGTCGCTGCCGACACTGCAGCTCCGAGGCACCCCTGTGTCTGCAGGGCACGTCCTGGCTCCGCGTCCCCACTGGTGGGAACCAGTGGCAGATGGGGACTGCTGCCTGGGGGCAGGGCACAGATCAGTTTTTCTTCTGTGAAAGTTTCCTGTCCAGGATCTTCAGGCTGGAGACAGAAACAGTCCCCCTCACCCCACCCTGTATTCGTGGTTGCTGGGTTGGTTGGTCACAGCAGAGCAGGGTGATGCCACTCCGCCTCGGGGTCAGCCGAGCAGTCCCGAGCTTTACTGGCGGGGCCAAGGGTGTCTGTGAAGCTCCTCCCCCTATTCTCGAGCCCTGGCATTGCAGGCACCGCCCGCGTGCATTCAGGGCGCACTTGCCCTGAGCCTGGGGAGGGCAAGGACACAGCCCCCCCGTGCCACAGGCCTCAGCCCACAGGTCCTTCTCACTTGCGTTTCCAAGATGGAGAAGCCAAGGACGCACTGCTCCCCTGCCGGTCCCCTAAACGCCTCACCTGGGCACAGACCAGCTCCTGGCCACCATCGGTGGGCGGTCTCCCTGTGAGCGGTGCTGGAGCTGGGGGAGCAGTCTGGAGCCAGGTCCCTGGAGGGAGCTGCGTCCCCAGCTCCTGCCGGTGCAGTGCCTTTCCCTCGGCAGGTGGCACAGGGCACACCTGGCCCAGAGCGGCCCAGGCTCTGGCTCCTGCTGTGTTTCAACAGGACTGAATCAGACGCAGCGGCCGCCGTCCTCTCCTGCGGCCTGCGGGGGTGGCTCGGAAGGAGGTGTGTCGGGCTGAGCCTGTGCCCGGGTAGGAAGGGACACCACAGGGCCCGTCACTCCTCCCGTGCCCGGGCTTTTCCTCACCCCAGGCCTGCGCAGGGCCCTTCAGTGCGTGTCCTGCGTCCTCGTCCTGTGACAGCCTGGGGAGCAGCCAGGCAAGAGCAGCGTCTGCCCCCGCGCTGGCCAGGCTGTCGCGGCTGTGAACTGGGCAGTGCCGACCTCTGCTCAGGGGGCCCTCCCACACCTCCGAAGGCCCCCGTGGACACGTCCTTGAATGTAGCCGGAAGCCATGGGATCGTAAAACTGTGGATTGGTCCTGCAGCTTGGGAGAGGAGCCCGAGTCCCACAGCCACTGCCCCTGCCTGTTTGTACCTTAGGCCTTTTCACTATATCTGAACAAATATATAGTTTCTGACACTATTTTTATACTAGGACGAGGGAGTCACTGTGTACCTCATGTTTAGCTTTGTAATCTTGGTCACTGTCCTCTCCCACCCCTGAGCCACCCAGTGGCTCTTCTGTGCCACTCACCACCTCTGGCAGCTGTGAGGCCACCAGCCGGCCAGGGAGGCTCCTGCACTGTGCAGACCCTCCCATCTGCTTCCTCCAGTTGCCCTGCTTTGCAAAATAAAGAATGAACTGGTCCATGAGTGCCGTGTGGTTGTCAGGGGACCTGGGGTCTTTCCAGTCACAGACTGAAGGGGACTTTGGGTCTTGGGCGGGGGAAGTCGGCCCAGGGGTTTGAGACACCGAGATGGCGCCCACCCAGGTCCCACGGGGAGGAAAGGCGTGGCTTGGCCCCCTGACCTCGCCTGCCCTCCTCCCAGCGTGGCCCTCCTCCGGGCAGGGCCTCGCTGCCCTCTGAGCACAGCCAGGTGTACACAACCTGGCATCCCGTTCAGGTTCACCTGTGAGTGGGTGACACCATGTCAGTGCTGCTGGCCGAGGACCCTACCCCCCTTACTGCCTGCTGGACAGGCCCCAGGTGGCCTGTCCAGGCTGCTCCTGGGTCAAAGCTGGGGGAAGTCCGTGCCTCCAGGGGACAAATGGCTTCCCCTAAGGGCCACGAGAGGGCACGGTTTCCAGGTGTCTTCCTTCCTGGCCATAAAGAAGGGATGAGAACGTTTTGGGTAGAAAAAAGAAGAGAAAAAAAACTATGAGGGAGGGCAGGCAGGCAGGAAGAGGATTTAAGGAGAATAAGTAGGGAAAGTGGGTACTCTCTGACGCTACCTGCAGGAGAGCCACAGGGCCCTGCCCCAGCACAGCACAGGGACAGGCTCCCTCCCTCCCTCTCCCCATAGGCTGGGAATGTCCCTCACAGGCCCTGCCTGGGCACGTGTGTGTGTGTGAGCATGTGTGTCTGTGACTGTGTGTGTCTGTGTGTCAGTATGTGTCTGTGTGCGTGTCTCTGTGTGTCTGTGTGTCTCTGTGTGTGAGTGTGTGTGTGTGTGTGTGTGTCTGTGTTTACTGGCTTCATTTTTAGAGTCATTTGGGGATCACATCAGAACTGAATGGAGAGTGTAGAGGGCTCGCACGCCCACTGCCCACTCCACTGTGCTGACGGGGATGCATCCACACCTGGAGGTCTGAGGGCCTAAACCAGTGGACAAAGCCGTGTCCCCCAGGTTCACTGCCCGACAGTCCTCTGCTCTGCCTGCTCCTCCCTCTGTCCCCCCAGCCCCTGCTGTCCCCCGCCTTCACTGCCCCCTGGTTTCCCTGTGGCTGGGTGGGTACAGCAGTGCTCCCCGTCGGCTCCCTTCACTCAGAGGGTCTAGCTTGCCTCTGTGTCTCCCCTTCTGCCTGGGCTTGGTAGCTCGCTTCCTTCAGCTCTGAAGAGGACTCCGTGGAGGGACGGGCCACCAGGAAGTGTGTACGTGGACAGGGTTCTTTTACACACTGCCGATTTCCCTGCCTGGACACCTCAAGGAAAATGTTCATTCAGTACACTCCTTTTAAGTCAGTGAAGACTGTATCGGGTAAAATAGGTTGTGTGAGTGTTTGGATGCTGTAAAATAGAGGTTTACATTTTCAGTGCAGAAGTAGCAGCTACAAGTAGACAAGTAGCCCTGCAGAGTGGACATGGAGTGCTACGGTGCTGATTCTGGTCAGTGCTTCTGTCTAGGGATCCAAGGGTTAGGGTTCCCTGGGTAGCTGCAGCTTGCCATGAGGGCACATCTGGAGGAGCCGAGTGGCTGTGCTCTGCCATTCCCTGAGCCCCCTCCAGATGGACGTCTCTGCCACCCTCCCAGCCCCCTCCAGGTGGACATCTCTGCCGTCCTCCCAGCCCCTCCAGGTGGACGTCTCTGCCGTCCTCCCAGCCCCTCCAGGTGGACGTCTCTGCCGTCCTCCCAGCCCCTCCAGGTGGACGTCTCTGCCGTCCTCCCAGCCCCTCCAGGTGGACGTCTCTGCCGTCCTCCCAGCCCCCTCCAGGTGGACGTCTCTGCCGTCCTCCCAGCCCCTCCAGGTGGACGTCTCTGCCGTCCTCCCAGCCCCTCCAGGTGGACGTCTCTGCCGTCCTCCCAGCCCCTCCAGGTGGACGTCTCTGCTGTCCTCCCAGCCCCTCCAGGTGGACGTCTCTGCCACCCTCCCAGCCTCTCCACGTGGACGTCTCTGCTGTCCTCCCAGCCCCTCCAGGTGGACGTCTCTCCCGTCCTCCCGGCCCCTCCAGGAGGCCCTGCTGGTGTTGTGTTTATTCCTGGCAGTCTCCTGTGTTAACTGTGGTCCCCTGTCACAAAACAACTCTCCCATCTGAGGATCCCACTGGCCAGGCTTTCGGAACCTCAATGAGCAATTTCAAAGACCCCGGCCCAACAGAGTGGGCTGCGCTCTGCGTTGAGACCCCCAGGCTGTCCTGCAAGCCCCTGGTTGAAGACCTGGCCGTGTTGTTCTACTTCCCCAGGATCCCTGGAGGTAGGAGGAGAGGCAGCCCCAGTCAGTGGGTCAGGTGAGTCCAGGAGGAGACCCCACTTTGACCAGACAGACTCCAAGATGGCTCAACGGCAAGCTCACTGAGAATTTTGTTCTGTCTCAAATCATTTGGGTTTTCTGTCTCAACAAAAACACAGCAGAGTGCATTCATGTAGGGAAGAGAAGTAAAGCAGGGACAGCCCCCGGCCCGTGGGCACTTCAGAGCACTCCTGCAGGACATGGGATCCCTTACGTGGCCTGTCAGCCCCCCTCCTCCTTATAGGTCATGCGCTTGGAGGTCAATTAACTGCACATGGCCACAGTGATGAGCTGCAGCCTCTCACAGCTGGAGAAAAGGCAAACTGGACGTGGCCTGTCGAGAGAGCCGGGCCAGGAGGACGGGG